GGACTTTAGAAATCTAATAACAACAATATGGGACTCTAGAAATAATAGAAGAACAACAAAAGGACACATACCCTGCAGTGGAAATGACAGAAGATCCACAAGCCTTTTCCTTCCTCCTGTGTGATAGGAGAAATGGATGTGACCTTTAGGGTTCAGCTCAATGTCATGCATTAGGTATTTGGTAGTTCACACTCACCCTGCTCTACTCTAGCAATATCACGTTGTGCAGGCTTTAGGACAAAAGGTTTTGTCTTTTTAGCAGTAAGGTTTGGTTTTCTTCCAGATATAGTCATTGAGTCTGCATAGAATCTGCATAGAAGACTTTCATTGGCAAATTTAAATTTGCTTGTATCCTGGATTTCCAACTGAGGCTTTTTATCAAAGGTTTTAAACTTTGATTTTGGGGTTACTATTGATTCTTTGTGATGACTTCTTTTTTTAATTGAAAACAGTTTCTAGGTGGTAGTTAGGTCTCCAGAATACTCCGTCTCTCCTATGCTTTGTGCACCACCTACTGGATTCTTTTTAACATCCTGCCAAAGACTTTTCCTTTCACAGGTCCATGAAATACAGGTTTTACTTGTTTCCAAAAAGTAAACTCACAACCCCATTACTTGGGTGAAAAAATATTTCTTAACTTATCACAGATAAGGCTTAATTTATGTCTTCTGTTTAACATCCAGTTGAATTTAGCAACATCATAAAGTGTTCTTACTTTAACATATGGCATCAATAATAATTAATAGCATTCTGGTTGGTGTAAAATATCTGAGGAAAACAGTGACTTATTCAGTAATTAAAACAAGAGTTGTTATATGGTCTACTTCTGCAAAGAAGTAAAAATTTTGGTTAAAATGAAATTTTTAATACAATCTCATATTACTTCTAGAAAGAATCAGAAACACCACTTGGTCCAAACTTATCTCAGGTAATGTTTAAATGAGACCAAGCTAGGGCCCAGGAGTATGTAGAAGCCCAGACAATAAGGGGCTAATGTGTATTGTACCAAGAACAAGATTTGCTTGGAGAACAGGACCATGTGGAGGTAGAGCAGGGAAAAACATTTTTGTTCTACTCCCTGGAGGTACAACAAACAAAAGACAGCATCAATGAAGAAATAGGCATGAACTGTCAACCAAGAGCAAATCCAGCAGGAGGATATGAGACCACCCAAAACCTCTGTGACCCTCCAAACTATGTCCAGATAGGTCTGAAAGAAAAAGAACAGTCTGCCAATGATGACTAATTTGCATAGAAACAAGAAACCAGTCCTCAGGGCAGGCAAAACTGTTCTGTAAAAAGGTATTCACATCAAGCCCAGGCACACACCCTCAGGACTCTGCAAATCCCATTGGCCAAAGAGATGATCTCTCTTGTTCTCCTCCCCTCTTTAATTCATCTTTTCCTTTTTCTCTTCCCTCTGACCCTACCCCTTCACCCAAAACCCACTGCTGGCTTACAGAGTAGGTCAGGGACTAACATATCAATTTCCATGCCATGCGTGTAATTTACTAATAAAACTTTTTGGGCCCTCTGACTTCTGTCATTCTTTTTGACCACAAGCATTTACCAATCTTGGGTGCTTCCTTCCCCATACAGTGGGACATCACAGAGCAAACAGACAAGAAACTGCAGAGCAGAATGAGACACAGCTCAAGATGAACACCATTGTCAAGAGCTGTTTATGAGGATGATGAGAATGAGGAGGCACGGAGGACAAGACACTGTGATGTGTTTTAAGGTAGACAAGATTTACTTAAGTAAAAGATTACATCCTTCAGGATTTCTGTGTCATGGCAAATAGCTAAAGCAGGATCCCAAAATTAACATACAACATCACCTCATACTGCTGACAGTACCTAAGAACAGAGATGGAGTTTCAAATAATGGGAAACATTTTATATAAATTTCAATATGTGTAGATATATCTAGATATCTAGATATGTTTTACATATAGAGATATAAGAAATTTTAATCTTATATTAAAAAAAACTGTATTTACTTTTCATATTTTATACTCCATCTGGTCCAGTGACATCAACATACAAAACCTACTCTCACTGAATAAATGTCAGTGTATGACTACAAGAATTTTTTCTATTAAGAAACTACTAAGAAATGTTCCTTTAAAGTGTTTGCTTTGAGGCAAAAGTTCAAATTAGTAGTACTAAAATAGAATAAACCTACCAAAATACTACTGAAAGAAAATACTAAAAAAAAATTTAATTTAGATGGGGTAATGAACAAAATTGGTTGCTTGAATTGTTTTAATGTAAAGAACTTTAATTTCTATCAAGAATTAGCAGACATGCACATGCCTTGAGACCCAACTTGAGCAATTTAATGGGAGCTATTATCAGTTATGAAACACAACAAATCAACATCTTTGTAACAATACAGGCAACAACAGATGTTAGTACCATTGCAAATAAGGCAAAGTTGTTTCATGATGGTAATGTTGATAGACAGAAATTCTCCACACTTAAACAAAGCCAGCACCACCAAAAAACCAAAATCAGTTCCAATAACCTGTCTATGGCTGACCAGGATGAAGGGCTGGTCAGGAAACACATGTATATTTAATGAGATTCCCTCCAGCCAGCCTATCCAATGATTAGTGCCTAGATCACTATTTTCCCCTGCTGCTGGAATCTGGACATGCAAGTCTACAAAGATCACAGCTACACTTCATCTGCTGGTACAGTCCCATGTCATCATTCCCTTCCCACCTAAAGCACACACTGGATCCCTTGAATAACTGGGATTAGATGTGCAGCCAGCTGAGTAACTATCCCACAAATTCTATGTGTGTAGAGACACATGCCATCAGGCCTTGTAGCCTCCCCAGTAGTTGTTATGAACTGCCTGGTCTCTCTGGTATGTGCGTCCAGCTGTCTCAGAGACACACATGTATCTGGCCCAGCCAGAATGCTTTGGTAACTGAGCTAAAGCCCCTGCTTGCTGTCTAGGTTCAGCTCAGTATCTGCTGGCAGCCAAATGGTGCTAGACATGCCCTCACTTGGCCCAGCTGCTAGCACCACAGGCATATGGGTTCCTGACACCCACAGATTCCACTCCAGTTGCCGGCACAATAGGTAACACTGGCTATTATGACCCATGGTATGACTCCAGCTGGTAACAATTAGACCTCCATAAGCACAACAGAGAATCCCCTCACCCAAGAAAATAGATATTTAATTTAATAAGACAGGGCAGCTGGCACTTAGGAGATCCAGGACATCACCAAATAACTGCATGGACAAGGGACTAGTCCCTTATCCCTCTGTTTTCCTGTGCTTGTTCCTCCCCAGACCACCTACATCCCTGCCTTTGGTTCCTTCCATACATGTTCACTATTGTTGTGGAGAAGAGATGACTGAGAGGGGATTTAATGAATACTTATCAATAAGTATGTGACCTTGGGACCTAATGAATACTTATCAATAAGTATGTGACCAATATGCTTGGGTTATTTTACATTAATAATGAATCGGTGCAGTGAGTTAAATAGAAAGCTAAGGAAATGAAAAAAAAAAGCTAATTAGAAGACCAGCTTAAGTCCCCTGAAGACTCAGATTTGGCAGAGGTAGCCTTTGCCTCCACACCTCTGTCTGTGTAGTCCTGGCTGTGGTAGAACAGCTTGACAGAGCCAGGAAAGATCAGCCTGCATGTGACATATGGACACGAGAGCAGGAGTGCATAGTTACGGCAAGAGTAGCTACACAGACTGAAAACTAGCCCAAATAATTGTATTCCTGGAGTAAAGAGAACACATCCTGGCAGAGGGGGTTTATTTTCATTTTAAAGTCATGATGTGAAAGTGGTCTGCAGGGGTGAGTGGACATTTCTAGAGGCCCTATAGGAAAATAATAAAAAATCCTTTTTTGAAGGAAGAAGGAATCCTCTTTTGAAAATACAGATCTTAGTTTCCTTCTTAGAGGAATCCAAAGAAGGAAACCTCATTTGAAAATACAGATCTTAGTGTCTTATATTCTCATAGGGCAGAAGAGTACTATCTTCCCCTATCTTAAAGGCTTTTTGAATTGTAAAGAATTTGATTTTTCCTTTAGGTTCTGCTTCACTATGTTTTTTACAGCTTCAGTACCCATACATGCTAAGAGTTAAAAGGAGTATAGGAGGCACAGTCCATGGTCTCTGTGCAGGAAGAAAAGCTATCTCAGGACACAGCTGTATTAGATTTCACTTAAAAGGCAGTTCTAAAGAAGGTTGTCTAGTGTGTGAGAACAAGGAATACCATTTCCAGTTTGGGAACAACTGGTGAAGAAACAGGGGAGCTGTAAGCTATTTAGTTATGTCTCCTTGCAGTTGCTAACCACTGGATTAGCAACTGACTGCTCATTATGTCAATTAACAATTGACACTGCTGTATTTCTAGAGCATCACTCTGACTTTTTGTTTTGTCACATTATTAATTATTCTATTACAATGTTTTGAGTTAAATACTTCACCCTTCTGCTTCTTGAATAAAATCATGGTATTTGCTACTGGAAAGCTGAGTGATGTTGTTATTTACAAACAGAAGGTCCATATTTGATTTTGGATGTAACATCATTGAAACAATGTTCTATGTAGCGAATTACTTTCTTTCCTTAGAAGTAAAATATTTTCAATACCACTTAAAGAAGCTGAGAGAAGTAACTCAGGCTTTTGCACTGAGGATCAATGTAAGGTAGCTAGTTAAAAACAAATGGCTTCATCGATGACAGATCTCATTTGGTGGATTACCATTATGATGGCTATTCAAGCATCATACAAGAATCCTCAAAATATTAATGGTCAGCTTTAGTCATTATTCAAACTAGGAAAATAAATGGAAAAGAAGAAATCAATTCTGCTCAGAACCAGACAGCTGAATGTTCAGAGAGTATTTTCATGTAATTTATAAATTCAGCAGCAACTAAGTTAACATCTCAACTGTAAAATAACTGTTGCTTACAAAGTTTATCAGCAAATATCATTTACTCAATAAACGCCAGAACTGATGTAGTAACACATTTATTGATCACTTTACCAACTAAAAATACAATTTTATACAGTCAGTCAACAGCAGTAACATACTTCATGAGAAGCTATGCTTTAACGAAATGGTGTTTAAAATATGGATTTCACTATAACTTGTCAAGCCAAGCTTTTACAGTGCTAATCAAAACAACTGCTGCACTTGAACTTTTCCCCTAAAACATCAACAATAATGTTACAGACAAAGTAGCTTTTCCATTGTTAATGTGGGTTTAGAATTTAACAGGACAACTTCAAAAGGTTTAAAACATCTGTAACATTGTCATTACTTTAACATTCACACAGATAAAGTGATACATTTAATACTTTCTAGCATTAATAAACAGTGTAAAAATATATTGCATATATATATATATATATATATATATAAATTTGTTTCCTTTTCTTGAAAAAACCTAGTACAAACTAGTAGTATATGATCCCCCCTTCAAGTTTCTTTTACTTATTTTAAAGATTGAAGAGTAGTAGTTTTAAATTAACAGAAACAAAGACATGGAAATAAGAGAATCACTGTTGTGCTCCCCCATAACCTCTTGTCATGGTTACTAAGCATATTAACCCCTTGGTAATGGTGTTTCTATTTTTGCTAACACCAGCTAGAATTTTGGAACTGGCTGCAGTGGGGATAAGATTTTGCCCAGTGTGCTTTGCACTGGATGGTGCCTGGCCCCCTTCATCAAGTGGTTAAAAATCTTTGCTTAGGTCATATAGTTTTTCTACTATAGTTAAGATTTAGAAATGCTATGCTCAAGTTGTTCATTTGCAATAATGAAAAGAAGAGTCAGTGTTAAATTAGTGAGAAAAAGTAAACTTGTAAGGTTAAATGATCATGTAAATTTTTTTACCGTGTTGAAAATTTCACAGTGAACACAGTAGGCTAGTACAGCTGCATGTTAATGTTTGCAATGCCTGCAATTATAAATATTGCAGGTAATTATTAGCACACAGCAGCTTACTGCTTGATGAAAGACAAATGAAAATAAGAACAAAAACTAGTAAGCTTCACTGAAGGTTTTTATCATAGTGTACAGTGCTCCAAGGAAGACTATGTCAAGACCTATCTCCATATCCCAACTGCTTAACGATTAAATTTTAATTAGTGCTCTAGATAATCAAAGACAAAACAGTTTTGCCTTCACCCTTTATGATCAGGTCCTGACAGCACGCATGTTCAGATTTGTGCAAATGATGAATCAAAACATCTAAATCAAATTAGAAATGGATATTGGAACAGCATGGACTGATAAACATGCTAGCAAAGGAATAAAGCATAATGTGGATAAATAAATGGTTTATGACTGAACAAAATCAATCTCATTCAAAAATTATACTTCTGTATAAATATATATTTCTCCTCTAATATTTAAATCTCTGAAACATCACACCTGGCTAAGAATAAACCTCAATACACTTATCTAACATTGACCATTTCTCTGCTTTACAGAATGTAAAGACAAATTACTTTGTATTATAAGCATTGTACAAAAAAATTTCCCTGCTGCAAGAATTTGCCAAAGCTGATATATTCTGAACCCAGCACAAAGATTGAAAATAAACACACTTTTTTGCACCCTATAACTTGGTTTTGCCTATGATCTTACCTTTTCATATACTACAGTGCTAACAAAAGTAGCTTGCCAACACAATTTTATACAGGACATCAGTCTGTAGGTTAACTGACTTTACACAAAGCCTTTGTAAAGATCTAGCATATATTTAGCTTGAATATTACAGACATACACAACATTTCAGTTGCATTAATATAACCCTATTTAACAGAGTCCAGGCTGCATTATTTCACATTATTTAATTACTTTGTTTAAAAATAGCATTTGAGCAAATGGAAGCATACAGAAACTCATCTGATGTAAACTGGAACTTGAAATAATTTACCACTGTGGGGATTCAGACTGCCATAATTTTTTCTTATTTTGTTGTTCATCTATAATGTAGCTCCTGATCAAAATGCAAAGATCAAAATGGATGAACTGAGTGTATCTTTAGGGCCACATTTTTAATTTAGTTGAGTATAGCTTTACTCATATTTCTGATTTTTCCTGAAAAATGTGCAAAGTTTTAGAAAAACCTTGCATAAAGATAACTGGAGGTAAGGACAAATTATGAGCATTATCTTTGAGGTCTTTGCAAATGTTTACATCAAAACTCACTTTGTACAGTGCCATAAGCTTTACAGTAACTCACAAAAAAGAGATGCTGTATATCTGTATTTGAAAATTAATTCATTGGCTATTTAGCTGCAATGGAATATGATAGTAGCTTATCATTTTTACAAATCAGGTTAGTCAGTTGGGCATTTCAATGCCAATTTCTAAATGCAAGATTTAAAGAGAAAGAAGAAGTCTCTTCTGTAGTTCTTCTGTAGTTTTGCCCTCATGTATATCCATGTTCCCAGATAGTGACAGTGTGCATGTGCATGAACAGAAAAGATAACTTCTTTTTAAAAAAATTGTTTCAGACTACCAGAACTGCAAATGTGTCAAGAATGCTCAGCTGGATTTCCCCCCCTTTTGTTTATGATCAGGCTTATTCTTGCCAAAGTCTACCTTGAGTGGATGATCAAGTAGTTTGAATGAAATAAGCCAATTCAGGTGTTTTCTGACAACAAAGTCAAGAGTTGTATCTTAAACTTGTTCTGAAATCCACCTTCTCCATAGGGTTTTCAAAGCAATATACCAAGTCTAATTTACTGAAAAACATGAAAAAAACCTCCAAATATATTAACAGATATTTTTCCCTGCAAGAATAAATTACTTGGACAATTAAGACATGGAGGTTCTATCTGCAATATTCTTTTACTTCTAGAAGCATTATTCTTAGCTGGGACATCATCCAAAGCATTGGTTTTGAGTTTAATGTGCCAGCATGAAAGCAACTACAGGTTTCTTAGAACTTCTAGGATTCTGAAGACTTTAAAAGAACAATCCTGACTGTAATATTATGTAAGCCAAATGGGCACTTTGGGGTTGCACAAAATGAGGAACTGATTGTTAAATGATATTTTATGGGCAAACCCTTCAAATACAGGAGGTACACATGCATTAATTGGAGGTACTCCAGACTTTAGGAATTTCACACAAGTTTAAGAGCTGCCATTATGCTTCTGGTATTTAATTGTATAAAGGTTTAAGCAAGACTTGAGTCCATAGGCAATGTATGACACTCCTGTTTCCTGTTCCCATCTCACTGTACCACAGCTTTATACTTACTGACAGATGATGAACAACTCTGTGTTTACACAGTGTCACCTTGCTTCACAAAGCTAGGGCAAATGCAGAGCATAGTTTTAAATGGTTTCTTAAGAGCACTCAGAGGAAAGCTTGATTTCACTCTTTCTCTCTCTCCTACTTCCTCACCATGGAGAAACTCCACTTGTCACACTAAGTCTATGTTAGAATTGCTGAAGAGTGATTTCTCTCAGAACAGGGTGGACAGGTAAAACCATAAGAGCCTCCTTAGATCTTCACCTTTATGGTATGAAGGGAGAATAACAACACCCCCAACCAGTCAAGCTGAACAGCATTGACTGCAGGACTAGAGCTTGGACCTAATAAGATTTTAGTTTTTCATCAACATTTACACAGTTTAATTACTTAAGCTGTATCCAAAGAGCATGTATACACACACAAACCTACACAAGTCTTGTGCATTACATTACTTAATACCAACAAAGTGACAAGCCAAGAACATAATATTCACACTACAAACAACATACACAAAGGTGTAGTTATTTTGGCATACACGCAAGGCTGACAGTCAGTTAAGAGGGCACGTACCAGTGCAACATAACATTTGCTCTATCATGAAGGTAAAAGGTTTGCTCTTGGCCAGTGCAAACAGAGAATTCTTAGTCACAGATGACAGGCACATGCCCCCAGAATACATGCATCCCTGAAGGCAGGGTTATGTTTTGACTATCATACATGCAGGCACAAAGAATTAAAATTTATTTCATAACTATGAAAAGTCTTAAGGAAAAAACCTATCAATTACAACTTTAAAGTTTTGGTTTTGGAGGAATATACATGAGGATTTTCTCTACAGATGGTTACAGATGGCTGGGATGTCTATCACTTGTAAGTCAAACCCATAGTAGTCATTTGCCTTTTTGTTCTGCCTAATTCTAGCTACTATAAAAATATTAATTGAGCCAATAGAGGGCAAAAAAAGGATGACTGAAATGGTACTTTGTGAACAAAGCTTTGTAAAATGCTAAAAAATTGTCAGACTTTTAAATTTAATTGTCAGAATTTTTAGTTTAGGAAAGGTCAGTAAAATACATACTCAATTCAAAATATTTTTGAAAGACGATCTCTATGCTGATGAAAAACACAAGCTGTGACATGTATGTAGTTTTCAAATATCCCTTTCCCTTCCCTAAATAAAAAGGAGGTAAGAAGTATTATAGTTTTAAAAAATAGGGACTACATTTTGTCTATAGTCTAATATTCAACATTTCCCTTGGGATTCCAAATATTTGACTACAATTAATTACAACTGTTCATATAAGACCCATGAAATTATGTGTGTTTTTTAATGTCTGCTTCTCAGTAATGCTATTGTGATAGCTTTGACAACCACAAAGAGCAGGACAATCATTTTTGGTTTTGATACTTCCATAGTTGCAAAACTCCCAGCGAAACTCTGAACTAAAGCTCATGGAGTGACTAAACAGAATTAGTAAGCAAGCCCTAATAAGAAAATCCCTTTTGACTGCTGCATATTTTACATAAAAACAACATTATTTTTAGAAACTTATTTGTAATGACTATTCATTTGCCTCAGTAAGGATTTTAGTTTCTTGCCCTCAGTCTTCTCAGGTTTTGATGGTCAGGTTAAGCTTCAGTAGACACACAGGTAAGGATTGTGTACTGCCACAGTATTTAAATGAAATTTGAGTCTATTCTTTAAGGCAGTTATTTCTAAAAGCTATCTGACTTTCTGATCATATTTCTTTTGGTAGCATCTACTGTAGTAATGAAAACAAATATAACTAGGAACAATAGGGTTTTATAGAAGATGTCACATAAGACAGTACTACATAGTGGAAGATGCTGAAAATCAAGCTGGAAATTTAGATGGAATCAATTGAGATGCCCCCAAAAGAGAGAGGACAGTAAATCTTATTAGGTTCCCATGTCCTTATTTCAGACATGATGTTTAGTTACAGTCTGCAGCATGGTGCATCAGAAGAGAATATGCTGAACAACACTCTAAGGACTGAAAATGGAGCACGTCCTCAGCTATCCTTTCCTGTCATCATTGAGGTATAAGCTGTACTTACTGTCCTGCGAATTGAGGGAATAGCAGATGAGTAAGAAAATGTACTATCCTCATTCCTAAGCAGGCCTGGAACTTAAAAGCTAATAATCAAACAAGTATTTAGGCTTTTAATTTCCTATCAATATTAGTGGAATAGTAAGACCTTAAGTAGGTGGTGAACCCCTAATACACAGCTGCATAAGATGCTTTTATTCATAACTATTATCTTTCACACCAAGCATAGTAAAAGAGAAAAACCTGTACTATCTTCCAAGTAACAACTCTCCTTTGTAACTGTTACATCCGAATGACTTCTTTTCATGTAACACTTTGAGGTTTAAAACTATCATACTGTAGAAACAAAGTAGAAAAAAGAAGCGTGTTCCTCAAAATAAAATACTGCTATCTGAACCATCTTCCCAGGTTCTGATCCCAAGCTTACTATGGCATTGAAAGAATTTCAAATTTTGCATCAGGTACAAATAAAGTGCTTTTGGTTTTATGGCAGGGATTTTATACTGCACAAGCAATGCAAAGTAAACTCTGGCAGAACCTCTGCTTGTTCCATCAGCCTCTTACAGCTCAATTTCTGGACAGTGTCAGCTTGGATCCGTTTGCACTCTCAATTCCCTTGCATGCCTTCGTGTGCTGATCTCTCTCTCACTTTGAACCAACAGTTTAAAACCTAATTATATCTTAAAATCTTCCTAACCAATCACTTCTCCTGTATGGAAACATTCTGGCATTACAGACTCTGTATTTGGGCACCTGAGAAAGCCTGTCTTTTGTGTACCTAAAAGCAAAGTGTCACCCAATGTGCCAGACAATAGCTAGGAACAAACACCCAGGTCAACAGTGTGCTCTTGGACTCTGCAGTAGGCTGGACGTCACCCTTTAGTGAGGCTGGGTCTAGAACTTTTCAGTTACCATGAGTTATTAGTCAAGTCTTAAAATCAAAAGGAAAAACAGGGACACTGATTTTGCATATAACTCAGCTGAAGAATTCATCAAGGGTTGTAGGCTCAGCCTTTTTATTCATTAGAAGAACCAGGACTACCCTGGAGCCATCTTCAGGTGCACAGGCACCAGTGACAAAGAAGGCTCTTTACATTTAGACAGTTTACTACCATGCCAGAATAACTTAGCCACTGTTGGTATCAAGTATCCTATTTTCTGCTTTGGAGTATGACAGGTCCCCAGTGCCATACAGTAGTGGATAACCTTTCACTCTTCCAGAACACTGGGTAATTCTTGGAAAGGGTTCACAAAGCTGAACACTTTGCATCCTGAGCATCTTTACATACACCTAAACTTTTCACAGGTAACCATCTGTGGGAAAAGCAATTTAAATCTTCAGGAGCATGTGCTGTGTTTTGGCAAACTTCTCTCCCGCTTAAAAACAAACATCAACATGAATTATAAACAAACAAAAGGATTTCCAAGTCCACAAGGAAGCCCTTGCCTTTTGTTTGCTATTGTTTTGGTTTTAGGCTGATGTATGGGCTCAAAGGGTCACTGAGGACAAAATTATACGACAGGCTACCACACAATGTCAGCAGAATAAAACATGAACAGTTTAAGGGCTGAAAACCAGAGCTCTCTTTCCATACATTGGCCAAATACAGACTGTTCACCTGCATGGCACATGACAGCACATACTGCTCACCCACGTTTATGTACTCTCAGTGGGATGCTAGTACGGGTGGAGGGAGAGCAATACATCTATTAACCTTTATTAAGAGCTGAACATGAAAATCAGGGCACAAGCTCTTTTTGAAAGAAAGCAAGGCAGAACTGCAAAGAGCTGGTTTTGAATTCTGAACATCCTATCTTTCATAACTTTAGAGAAACAGAGTAATACATCAAGGTACTTGTTGAGCTCTTGCAGAAAAATGGAATGGCCTTTTCTCTCATTTTCAACCAATATTAAAAAAAGTTATTTTTATTCCAATTAATTTCTTTCAGCATTGTGGACCCCATCTAGGTCACACTCAGCTGCCTGTACCTTAACCCTGTGGGACTGGCTCTCCTGGTAACATTGGAAAGCCATTCCCAGCAATACTATTGCCCCCAAGTCTGGTAGCAAAAGTGAACAGAGAATCAAATCCCTTGGATTCAAACGAATCAACCATAAAATGTAGCCCAGTTATAATGATTTGGGGGTTTTTTGTGGGAAAATTGCACCTGATTACATAGATATTAATTGTAAATGTTCTTACTCCAAGAGGCCATAAGCTTTCCTTACATATGTTAGAGCTTAAAGGGACTATGTGCCAACATATGTGCAAAACAACATTCATTTAATAGGAATCTGATTGGCAGTGTTAAGTCATAAACAATATTTTAAAGTATTATTAGCTTAATGCCCCTTTCTCTTCCAATGTGAGGCAGTGCAAACTTGAAAACAGACTGTGAAAATCCGTAACTATACTTTCTTAGTAATGTCATGTTCCTCACCTCTCAGGTTAGTACAATAGCTCCATCCAAATCCAGCCAGTCAGAACCATGCTACAGTAGACACAAGAACAAGCACAAAGTATAGACAGGAGGAAAGTAAGGGCTGGTATTTTCCAGCTCTTTCTGCTGACATAAAATACTTTAGAGCCTATATTGTCTTAGAAATAGCTTTTTTTTTCAGTTTTTCAATGAGTGGTATATGACAATCACAGGCTAGAACCTAGTATATTACTACCACTTACTTCCCCATAGTTTATTTAAGAAAAGTGCTAGATCCCATATAAGACATTAAAAAAAACCCCTAAAATAATAGTCAAATGAAACTGCATAAGTAATGGGATATTCTTCAGAAAGACTGGTATGAAAGGTCCTCTTTTCAAGAGGTTCTCTGACATCATCAGGGCAACTGAACACCAAGGAATGTTTGAGTTATTTTGCTTGAATTGACAAAGTGTGGTATAACTGCTCTTGACTTTGGCTTTGTTGTTTGTTGATTTGGGTTTTTTTCCTAAAGCTCAACAAAATAATGTATTTTTTATACCTACATATTAATTTATTTTTGCAAATATATGCATGAGGAATGTAATGAAGTGGCATTGTGCTGCAAGTAGCTCAGCAGATGTTGAAATCAGTTCCAGTTCCTGAAGACAACTTCTTGACAACATAGTCTCAACATTCACAATAACTGAAACATGTGGGATTCATAACATCATCCTTACAAATATATACTCTATTCCCCTCTGTGTTGTAAACCCTCAGCCTTACTTGTTTCCTTGTACTTTATGATCGTATGTGCCTGCATGCTTATAACCAGATACATATCCTGAGTTATCCACCAGATCTTCTCGGCCAGCTCTGCCTTTTCCTTTCCCACTGGCATCAAACCTCTCTTTGTGAGAACCCGTGAATTTTGAAGTATCTGTAAGGCGTGAAACAGTTGGAGATGCAACGGTTTTCTATTGGAAGAAAAAAAAGAAACAAAACAAAAAAGACACATCAGAAATCAGCTATTCTTAATGCAGATATTTTTACACGCCACCAAGATTTAAATCTTTCTAATGACAAAGACTAGGCAAATACCTACTCCTTCCCAGCAATAGGATACAAAAGATGTTTGTTTCTTGCCATTACATACAATGACAATAATAATATAGCAGAAAAGGAAATAGCAAAAATTATGTCAAAACTTTTTTGACATAAGAAGAGACTTTCAGTATAAGATACTTTTGATTAATAATCAAGTTCTAAGCACCAACGATACGAACAAGTTTCATCTTGATTTCACATTTTGAACCATGCTCAAAATCCATTATGTCAACATGAAAGTATAAAAGCATAGCTCCACAAATATAGAAAAGGTATTCCAATACAACTAGAATTCACTGCTTGAAAAGACAATTTCATTCTAAACTCTAGGTTTCATGAGAGAAATAACAAACTGGAAGGACTGAAAGTAATTTCTAATATTAGAAAATTAGCAGTCTATGAAATGGCACTGAGCAAAGAGTTTTCTTCCACTGAGTCATATCAGGCTCAAAAATCAGTTTTGTTGTCATCGAGACAAAAAATATTTGACTACAGAAACAGAAAAAAAATTACTGTACATAACAATATAGAAGCATGATAACCTCTGTGCCTGGACTAGGAGCAGCCTCTTTGATCCTTAAATTTATATATAATTTTATTTATTTATATTAATTAATTAAATTATATTTTAATTTTATTTATTTATTTAAAATCATGTGAAGAAAAAACATACAAGACTTTTTGTCTTTTAACAAAGAGTGCTAAAATATGGGCATTTTTTTATGTGTGCCACCTGTCACTATCTGAAAGAAAATGACCACTGGAGCAGTCTTTGCTCAAAACAGCATTGCTAAATGACCTTCAGGGACTTCTCTCTTGCAGTCTTAAGTGTACTATTTGCAGAGGTGGTTATTTTCCTATACTGAAAAAATAGGTATCAAGACAATGCTTAGGAAGAAGTATTGGTCTAATATATACTGTTTACTTGTTCACATTGACCTGGTAGCACCTTTTAACAAGGAAAACTCCAAATGAAAGACAAGAGCAATATATTCAATATGGAGTTAATTAAACTTAAATCATATTTGCTTTCTTTGTATTTAAAAAACAATACTTTACAGAACATCAGTTTTGTCTACATGTGCATACACTCTCTACCATCACATCCACAGAGAAGTCTCAGAAACTCCAGTTGACTGCCCTTTCCTTTACCTAATTCAGTCTCAGGACAGACTGCTATTCTGAGAATTCGTAATGGTAAACTTAATCACTATCTGAAAAAGAAAGACTACAGCTTCTGCTCCTCTGTTTCAAAGGTGCAGCATGAAATGTATGAAGTTTTCCTCTATACACAAACTACAATAAAAACATATGAGAATTTTTGTACAGCAACATATTTAGTAACATACATACTAAAACTTGTGTGACTGGATGGAAATGCACACATATTAATATGCAAGAAGAAACAGTAAAACGAGGATTAATAGAATGGCTGATGTCAATAATGAAGGATGTTCCCAGAAAACTATTCCCAGTGGTAAACTTGAGAAAAGTGGTGTTTATATCAAGACACCTGCATTCTGATAAGACCTTGACACACATGCCTCATAAGGTGTATCTTTACAACAAGACAACAGCATGCCACACAAGCCCTTCCTTTTCTTATTAATATGTAGACACATTTCAAACCAACAAAGAAAACTGAGGATGGGCAACAGCTTGGCAGGTTAAAAAATATAATATTTTTGTCCCAAAAAGCAATTAAGCAAAACCTAAAACTGCAGCACAAGGAACAGCACAAATCCAGAGCAAGAGCAACAGTGATCCCACATAATGTGATCTTTCAGCCCAAGATGGATCAGAATGCCTCCTGCATCACAGGAGTCATAATCTGTGAAATGAACATTAAAGGCAGTAGCAAACATTCTTTCTCTGAATTGCTTTTTACTGAGTAAGAAATACAGCCTTTTCCTAAGTTGTACGTCAAGTCACTGATGTGCCCCTTCCTACATATGGCAGATTATTACAATTGAAATACTGTTGATTTGCTGTTGGCAAAATTCTTATAAAATGAGAGGCTCACCTTGTTTCCAACAATACAAAATCCAAGCAATGTTAATTCCTTGCACATTATGCTCTCACTCCCTGAACTAATGTATCTATATAAAAGATCAGAGATGAGATGCCACTATAAGGCTATGCAGAACACCTCATTTCTCCTGTCCCTTCTTTTCCATCATTGTTATGATGAACATACTCATTTCTTTTTAAGGTGAGGTGAACATTTTTAAGGTTGTGCTAAGATGCTTTCATTCAAAAAAGTCTTTGTAAATACAGAGTAGAATACACAACAACTTCACACCCATCCTGGGCTCCTCAACCAGAAGCAGCTAGTGGTACTATATATCACAGAATCATAGAAAAGTCCTGTGACTGAGCACTACTGAAAAAAAGCCTCGCACCATCATCTTTGCACCCTCCCTTCAGGTATTTATATACATTGATATGGGATTCACCCTTGAGCCTTCTCTTCTCCAGGTTACACAGTCCCAGCTCCCTCAGCCTTTCATTACAGGAGATATGCTCCAGTCCCTCCATCATCTTTATGGTCCTTTTCTGGACTCTCTCCAGTAGATTATCAGTCTTCTCCAGGGAGCCTAGAACTGAATGCAGGACTTCAGATGAGATTTCACCAGTGCTGAGCAGAGGGGAAGGAACACCCTGTTTGCTTGGCAATACTTCTAGTGCAGCTGAGATACCAGCTCACCGGTTCATGTTCAGCTTGGTGTCCATGAACATTCCCAGGTCCATTTCAACCGATTTCCCTTTCATCTGCATGGCCCCCTGCACATACTGGTGAATGGGGCTCTTCCTCACCAGTTGCAGGACTTTGCATTGCTTGCTGAGCTTGCTGAAGTTCCTGCCAGCCCAGATCTCCAGCCTGTGAGGTCCCTCTGGATGGCAACCATCCCATCTGGAGCCACTCCTCCCACCTCTGTGTCATCACAAACTCACTGAAAGTGTACCACACGCTATCATGAAGATGATTAATGAAGATGCTGAACAGGACTCGACTCAGTATGGATCCCTGGGGTATACCACTGTTTTCCAACCTCCAACTAGACTTCACACTGTTCATCAATACCTTCGGGGCCTAACCATTCAGCCTGTTTTCAATCCACTTCAGTGTCTGCCCATCCAGCCACTACAGCACCAGCTTGAGGGGCTGTGAGACTCTTGTAAGAGATGACATTAAAGGCCTTACTGAAGCCTGGATAGACACTGTATTGCTCCCTTCTTGCCCGGTCTACTTGGGCAGTCATTTAATAGTAGAAGTCTACAGGTCAGTCAAGCACAACTCTCCCTTGGTGATCAACCATGCTGATTACTCCTGATGACTCTCCTCTAATTCATGTGCCTGGATATGATTTCTAGGACTAGCTGTACCATTACTTTCAGTGTCTTAACATGAAAAGTTTATCCATAAAGATTCCTCTATAAGCTGATGACTTATTTTTAGTGAACAGCCTTTATAAACTGAATGTGCAAGCAACTGTTCTTATATTTTTTTTTTTTTCTGTTTCTGAAAAAAACCAACTTTCAGATTAAACTGGGTACTAAGCAAAAGGCAAAACCAATTGAAAGGGTGACCATGAGCTCATTCTCTACAACCCATCTGCTCATTATTGCACAATGGTATGGGGAGGCAAATAAAAAAAGTGGGGGGTGGAGGGAGAAAGCTGATCATCCTTCTTAAGTAAAGAAAAATGTAGGAAGAAATATAGTGAAGAGCACAAAGGGCTGGAGGAGACCAATTTCCACAACAGCACGTTACTACTCTACCCTCCCTTCTTTTTCACAATGAATCACATACAAATGATTCTGCCTTGTCATATAGCAATTCTGCTTGAACTATTTACTATCTAGAGTAAGTTATATAATCTCTCTAGTTACATTATTGTGAAGGAAATAAATTCCTTGGGGCCAACCTCCTCTTTTTTTTTTCCTCTGAGACCATAGAAGACTTTATTTTCCATCTCATATTTGCACATACAGTCAACCACAAAGTTTGCATATCACAGAAAGTGCCCATGAACTTCAATTTATTTTAAAAAACTTTGTCTAAGAAGAAATTTTACTTAGCACAACAGAATCAAACATAATCATTTAGTGCTCCAAATTGAGTTTATTAATTTTTTGTGCATTTTTTTTCTTAGAAATTCAGTATTTTTCCTCACTTTGTGTTAGTGTCTACAAAGAAGTGCTGCTAAGATAGCAAGAGGCTTAGAGCATGTGACATACATGGAAAAGATGATGGGAATGTGTTTATAAAGACTCAGAATTAAAAAGGGAGAGACAAATCGTATTCCTGTCCTCAACAGAGTGGTTATATTAGAAACAGAGACAGTTTGGAAGTAAACAATAATGGACATGATTTGGAAGATATGAAATTCCAACTAGACACATGAGAATTTTTCACCCCTGTGGTTGGTCAAGCCTGGAAAGAGGGGGGGATTCTCTGTTCCTGAGGATTATCAAAACTTAAAATGACTAAGTCACAGAACAATTTAGTTTGGAAAGAACCTTTGCGTATGAGTCTTTATCTAGCATAGGGTCCTGCTCACAGCAAGGCTCCAACAGGCTTACATAGAAACTTCTCCAGTCAAGTCCTAAACACCTGCAAAGCATGGGCAGCCTCCATGGACAACTTGTTCCAGGGTCTGACCACACTGCAGGTAAGTAAAAAAATCAAAACAATCCAACAGCTCAACCAAATTCCCTATTACCAGTAGGGCAACTTCTGTCTGAAGCAGCCCTCATACCAAAGACAGGAAGTGAAAGCTGCTGTCTTTAAACTCTGAAAACCTTAACAAATGCCACATTTCTCCCTCTCCCTCTCTTGAGAAAGACAACTCTGCAAACTTACACA